TCAGCTTGCAGGAGCTGCTGGGTCTGCCCCCGTCAGGGCAGGGCCGTCAGAACCCAGGCAGCCAGGTTTGCCTGTGGTGGCGACTCCCATCTTTTTTGAGCACTGCCTCTTCCCTGGGGCCCTGCTCTCACCCAGCTGCCTGGGGCAGCTTTCCTACATAGCTTTGGGCTCCTTCACTGAACCTGATACTGACTAAGCACCAAAAAGTAAAAGTGGTTGAGCAAATGAGTGAGTCACAGGGGAGTCCAGAGGACAAAACGGAATAACCCTAATGCAAGTACCTTGAAGGTGGAATTAGTGCTCACCTGGCAGCTCAAGGCAGGAAGATGGTAGCAGGGCCATGAGTGTGTGCTTCATACCACCTGGTGGCATCGGGAACTCCAGAGAGCCAACAGAGTGTATTATTCACCAACATCTCCCCAGAAGTTGGATATATTCCCAGGGTCACACATGGGATAGTCACAACTCAGAGGACAAACGCAGCTTCAAACCTAGCCTGGGGGAGACTGCCCCTCCTCCAGAGGCCTAGAAAAAGTCTGAGCTAGTCCACATCTTAGTTCTGCTACTCCGTGCCGTGGGACCTTGAGTTTATTTCACCTGAACTGTAGTTTCCTGGCCATGGCATGGGAATGATGTACCCTCCTGTGGGGCTGAGATAAGGATTAAACAAGGTCAGGTTTGTAAAGTGCTTTGTAAGCCGGTAAATTCTGCATCACTGTTAGCCAAGGGACCGAAAGATGAGAGGAATCAAAGCCGTCTCTTGGCAGTACCACGCCCTCAGTGCTAACCTAGCTGACTTCCTTCTGTCCAGGCCAAGAGCGAAGCCTCTGGAAGAGCTGAGTTCCAAAGGCCTTGTCGCCCCAGACCTACCTCGCTGCCTCCCAGCCTGCCTGAAGAAGAAACTCGCAGGATTGCACGGATATTTTCTTCCCAATACTCCCAGAAAAACAAATGCAGCCTGAAAGACTGAAGGAAGGACCCACCTCCCACTGTCCCTCAGCCTTGACCAGCTTGCAGGAGCTGCCGGGTCTGCCCTTGTCAGGGCCGTCAGAACCCTGAAGCCACCACCAGCGTAGCCCATGGGCATGACGAGACCCAGCCAGCACAGATGGTAGCGTCCCAAACCAGCCCCGTGTCCACCTGCAAGGACTTCGGCTTCTTCCTTCTGTGGTGAGGCAAAGGCTAGAAACAAAGTGGATTCCAGCACCCAAGTGGCTCACCTATCTTTTGAAGGGACCCAAGCAGCCATCTTTTGGCTGAGAAACTGCTCCTCATGCCCTTGGCACAGTATACAGCTGACACAGCCCACCCTCTGCCTGTGATGGGCCTTTTCTGCCTTAAAGGTTTGGTGGGGGATTGGGGGCGGGTTGTAGATCATATGCATCGTGCATAACTGAGGCCACCTTCAATTCATTTGCTTGGGAATAAGGGTATTTTATAGATATAAATTATTTTTAGCTGTGTTGAATTAATCAGTTCGAGAGGAGGGGAAAATCACCTCTCAAACATTTTGTCTGATTGTCTGAAATTCTAACCATGCTTTTAATTTATTGCTTTTACCCAGCTCTGAAGGTCATTGTTCCTGCCTTTGTTTGAATAAAATCATATTGGTGTTTGTATTCTGTGCACAAGTATTTCTTGGGTACACCACGGGACAGGGGTGTTAGGGATTCATTTCTGTTCTAACAGGCAGAGCGGAGGTTTAACAACCACGCAGTACCTTGGAGAAGCTCGTCTGAAACTCGGGGCAGAGTTACCGTGAGACTTCTGAGCTCCCCAAGGACCAGGTTGGTCCAGATTAGGGTGACACCCATTATTCCTCTGCTGGTGCCTCAAATCTATCAACAAAGTAAAGGGAGTCTCCGGGGATAAGCCCTCTCAGAATCCCCCGTCTCTGGGATGGGCAGCTCTGGCTCCAACTGTCAGGCCCCAAACATTTGAGCAGCTGCTGTGGACAAGTCCTGAGGGGAATATGAGGCAAAGGTGTGCTGGGTGGCTGTGAGAGGTTCGAAGGGAGCTAACGTGGAAGGCCTGCTTGCCACCCCCAAACACAGATCACTTAACTTAGTCTGAAACAAAACAGCTCTATAACCTGCATATTAGGGTTCCGTTTTCATAGTTAAACTGAAGCTCAGTGAAGTTACTTTGCCTCTGTTGATTAGCTAGCAAGTAAGTCACCGCACAAGGTACCTCCAAAGTTATTGCAAGACTTCTGCAATCAGTGACCAAAACAGGTTACAGCCAGTAAGTGCTTGGGACTCAGGGAGTTTATGGGGGAAGCCCTGTGGGCTGGGGCAGTCAAAGAAGGTGCCTAGAAGAGAGAAGTCCAGAGGTGAGCCCGGAGGGGAACCGAGAATGCACTCGTGCCACGTGCATCTGGGGATGCAGAAGAGACCCATCTGGCTCTGCCACTTCCCCAGTAGGTGCCCTCTGGCTGGGCTCTCCCTCCATCTGAGCTTCGGTTGCCTCAGGTGTAAAGCGGAGATAATGCCAGCTTCTTAGGGGCTGTGTGAAGATTCAATGAGATGACATTTGTGAAAGTGCCTCACCTGCACTAGGCGCTTAGTGGAACCTGAGGAGATGTCAGCCCCCACCCATGCCCCCCCTACTCTTCTGGAGCAAATCAGTGGGTAGGCAAGCACACCAGTAACTGGGAGACAGGCAGGACGTGCCCCCAGAGGGTACAGGGTGATGCAGGAAACCCACTGGGGGACAGGCTGCCCTCATCAGTGAAGTGCCCTTCATCTGTTCACCTCAGCCCCCTTAGCTTTGGCCTGCCAGCTCCACCCTGCCCAGAGCCTCCCTCTCAGGTCACCAGCCCAGAGTTTTGAGGCCTGGGCTCTACCTCACTTGAGGCCACAGAGAACCTACAATGGAGCAGTCGGGGGCCCAGGCCTGAAGGGTTAAGCAGGTGATGAATATTCCAAATCCTGCTTCAGGTCCTATAAATAGCCTGATCAGGTTGAGTTAGGATGAGGCCACAGAAGGTACAGGCTGCCTCTACCCAGGCCGAGAGCAGCGTTTATGACACAAAGGCACCCTGAGCGTTTGAAGCCCACTGCATCCCCCTAAGCTGGGTCTGTTTCCCAGGGACAGCTCAGAGGTGAAATGCCTTGCAGGGTCATGCAGTATGAGGTACGTGTTTGCTCCGACCACCCCAGCGCTAGCCAGTGTCTCCCACACTTCCCTTTGAGCTCTCCCTTTGCAGAGACCTGAAAATAGGTGTTTCTGGTCACTCAGAGGCATTTGATCCCAGCTCATAGCAACCAACCTTGGAACTTCTAGAGCAGGCTGGATTCTGGGGACAAGGAACCAGAGCAGACACACCTGGCCCTGCCCTCAAGCAGCTCTCAGGCCAATGCAAAGCGGCCCAGCTGCCCACTCTGGGTTTCTCCAGGGCCTTCTGCCCCTTGTTACCCCTCCCCGTATATGGTACCCACAGTAATTCACCCACCACCTCCAGACCCGTGCTTTCAGAGCCCAGAACCTACCCCTTGCGCCCTCCCGACCTCAGCAGCCCCTTTTCTCACCGCACTAACACAGCTGCCTGTTCTGATGTGAGGGCAGAGCCTGGTTCGAGGAGGAGGGTGGGCTTGGTACTAGAGCAGCTGGACTTGTGACCACCCGCCTCAGGGCCCTGGCTCTGTGCCCAAATCCTCCTCTCCTCCTCACCCCCTTCTCCCCTGACCCCTTCCCCTTCTCTCCTCTTTTCTCCGTCACCTGGGTCCCAGGTTCAGATGTGCCCAACCCTTACTCTCAGCGCCTACCCTACAGCAGCTGCTGCAGGGGGCCCATCCCACCCTGCCCCCACACCTTCCCAACTCCCTTTTGGCTCCAGCAGCATCCATGCCAGAGCCTCCAAGTGTTATGTCATTGAAATCAGTGGTGACAGGAGATAGACCCAAAGGACATTATAATTACAGGCTAGAGGTCTGCCTCATACTAGCCGTATGACCTGTGTAGGTCATTGTCCGTCCTCGAGACTCAGTTTCCCCTCTGTAAAATAAGCATTGTAAACGTTAGGATCCTGAGTCATAAAAAGGGATGGAAGCAGGTGAGCTTTGAAAACATTTGTGCTGAGTGAAAGAAGCTAGTCACAGAGCATGTCACATGTTTATATTAATATGAAGTATTCAGAAAAGCAAATCTACAGAGACAGAAAGTAGATTAGTGATTGCCTGAAGCTTGCGGGGAGGGAAGTGACTGCTGATGCGTGCGGGGGGTGTTTCTGAGGGGTGATGAAAATGTTCTAAAATTGAACATGATGACTGATGGCGGTATAACTGTGAATATACTAAAAACATGGAATTATATCGTTTAAATAGGAAAGTGGTGTGTGAATTATAGCTCAATAAAGCTGTTCTTTTAAAGCTTAAAATCCTAATAGTGCCTACCTCATATGGTTGTAAGAAATAGGAATAATGTATGTAAAGTATCTAACTCATAGCAGGCACCAGGAAATGAGAGTTAGTGTCATTGTTATTACAAGGAGGCCCAGGAGAGCCCCGCCCCACCTGTGGAGGGAGACCTTGACCTTTGGACTTTCAAGGCGACAGGTCCAACACCCCACACACACACATACATACACAGTCCGGCACAAATAACACCCCTTTATTATTACAAAATCTTTTATTACAAGATCACAAGCATGTAATTCTGTAACATAACAATATCACACTCAAGCACACCATACGACATTTTAGGGGAAATGTTCAAATTAAACTATACATTACACCCCTGTTATTACCCTACCAGCCACACTCAAACAGGCCTTACTTCTGCCGGACCCTGTATATACCCTTATCACCTGAGGTAGCTCTTCTTTCAGGAGCTGAAAGGAGCTGTTTTAAAGAACCTTAGGTCAAAGAAACTGAACCAGATCTAGAACTCTGACCTCCCCCCTCACCTCCCTGCCCCTCACCAGCCGTCTCTTGTCAAGTGATCAGACTGTCAACCAGTGTCTCCAGGGTCGGGTTTCAGGTCACCTGGGGTGTATAAAGATAGGTGCCAAGCGCAGGCAGCAGAGACAGCAGTGAATGGCAAGGGGGCGGTCCGATTCCTGCTGCCACCTCCTAGGAAGGAGCTCTAAGGAGGCCCTGTGCTTCCCCTACCGCGCCTGGCCTCGCAGGTAAGACCCCACGTCCTCCCCTTCCTCCCCTTCATGGCGGCTTGCAGGTCGCAGCCAGGAACTGGCAGGGATCCCTGCCATCGCACTGCAGGGCTGATGGATATTTAGTCCAGCCCCAACCTTGTCGTGAGGGAACTGCAGCCTGAGGAGGACACAGTGGCAGAGCTGGGACTCGGCCCCACCACTCCTGTCACTCACACAGGACTCACCCCTTGCTCTGCTGTGCTTTTGTCTATCCCCATAGACAAGAAGTGGCTTCCTCCTTAATCTGACCCTGAATGCCTCCAGGATTCCTCCGGAGCACAAAGCCCTCTGCCCATGAGGGCCTTGGGGACTCTTTCCTGAGTTGGGATGGTGGAGGCATGTCTGGGGTGAGGCCTGGCCCAGTGTGCATGCTGAGAGTTTTACAGAGCCCACAGGAACTCTCCCCGCAGTGACTTTCTCGGTAGGGACACTGAGGAGGCTTCGCCAGGATGAAGAGTTTAGGCAGTATATCTGAGAATTGGGGCCTCTGAACCCTACTTCAGGGAACTTGTTTCTAATGCAGATCCCCAGACCCCATCCAGACATGAATGGGGATCTCTGGACTGAGGGGTGAGAATCCACTCGTAAACAAGCGGCTCCAGGGATCCTGCGCTCTCCCTGAAGTCTGACACTCTGGGCAATGCAACAGGCACAGTTGTCAGACGGCCCTGGGCTCCAATCCCAGCTCCAATCCTCAGCCTTGGGACCAGCTGAAGTCCTCAAAGACCTTCAGTCCCTTGATGAGGAAGTGGGAATAATCATAGCAACTACCTTAGAGTCTTACAACGGGATTGAATCAGTCAATGCCTAGAAAGCCCTCAGCACGGGGTCCAGTGCGGAAAGCACTCTGCAAGCATTAGTGGGCACCATTACCCCAGGCCATGCAGACCAGAACATTCCATTCCTCAAGTGCCCCAATAGAGCTCCTGGAGGAGGGTTCTGCTGTCAATTTCCTCTCCTACCAGCCAGTGGCAAAGGTCTGCTGGCTGCTAGGTCTCCTTGAGTACCAGTTCGGGAGGCTGGAGTAAAGAGGGAAGGAGGTTGGGGAGCACCGGCCTCAGGGCAGCCCTTTCCTGTGCCCACCATTAGGACCTCCCCAACACCAACCCCACCTTGACCAGTGGAAGTTCAAGAGCCCTCCCCAAAAGGCGTGGCTTTTGACCTAAATCCATGTGCATCCACTCTGCCTCCAGTGGGTGGCTCAAGACTGCCTCTGGATATGCTCCAGCCTCACCCCCGGGGCAACGGCTCTTGACCAAGCTGAAGCTCCACCACCTCTTGCTGTACCATTCAATGACCCATCACTGGTCTCTGAGCCCCCCAGCTCCCAGTCTGTCCTCAGCACCTGCACCAGCATGCTCTCATGCAGCTCTGCTAGTGTCACTCCTCAGCTTGAAAACCACCACCCTCTCTCCGCCGCCAGCTAGATTAAGTACAGCCCGGGCATTTGAGGCCCTCCACCAAAGGCCACTGTGGGCACCTCCGATTTCTCAATGCCTCCTTCAGCAAGTAGGTTTCCTTGGTCAACTCTTCCTCCCAGGGCTCTTCAACTCCCGGGCCATCCCCATACCTGGTGGCACAGAGAAGCAGGGTGAGTCAGCCCTGTCCCCGTAATTGGTGTCCTCCATCTCAGGGGGAACCACAGCAGCTAATGAGCTGATCCTACAGGAAAGTACAGTATGGGACCAGGGGTAGCTGGAGACAAAAGGAAGTTCAGAAGGGAAGTCTTGGTGGTTCAGGCCCCTGGCCAAGCTCCCTCAAGAAGGTAAATCCAGCCTGTCGGACAACGCCTATGAAGTGCCCCTTGCCAGGCCGGCATGTCACACAAATGCCTTGGTGTCTGTCACATAGCCCTGCTCACCTGTGACCTCGGATAGGCCATCCCACTTGTCTGGGCCTCAGTTCGTAACTCTGAAAGTGAAGTAAAAATACCTAACTTGTAGGGTTCTTCTATTAGAGTCTGCAGAGCCACCAAAGGTTTTGAAGAAGGCACACTCTGACAATCAATAAGAAACACCAGGGAGCACAGCCCCCCAGGGCCTCCCCGCTCAGAGGAGCCAGCACCTCCTACTGGGGACGCAGCCAGCCCTGGCAGCTGCTGGACTTCTGTAGGGCAAAGGGGAGTGCAGAGGGGGGAGGGTGCTGTTCCCAGAACGACTGCACAGGAACAGCTGTTCCCCAGCCAGGCTCAGCTGTGCGGACAGGGGCTTCCACGCCATCCTCCCAAGGTGCCAGGTCCTTCTTGGACCCTCTCAAGAAGGCACTGCAGAAAGGCAGGAAGCTGGACTGTGGGAAGAGCCCTGCAGAGAGAGCCAAGACCTGACCGTGCAACCTGCAGAGGTCTCCACCTCTTGGGACCCATTTTCCTCACCGACCGAAATGGGCAGTGACACCCACCCAGCCTTCGAAGCCGTCAATGAAAAGGCAAGGTGGTGGACATCCACACCACCACAGCCACTGGGGCCCCTGCGTAGACTGGTGAAGGGAGCCTTGTGCCATCACAAGAACCCCGATGGAATTCTGTGAATTTGAGCCGTTCTCTTTCCATCTTAAGCCTATTTTCTCATCTGTAATGGATTTAAATATCCTTCCTTCTTTCCAGGGCTATTTTAAGCCTAGCATGGCTGAGGGAGCCAGGGTCTGACACACTAGTGGCTGGGAGCACTGAGCAAGCACGTGCCTCTGAGTCTCGGTGTGCTCACCCAAGGCAGGGGAAAGGAAGAGACGGCCCCCTTTCGGAAGGTTATGAGAATTCTGTGAGATTGTGTGTGAAGCTCACACAGAATCCCAGCAGCCATTCCCCCCTCCCCTGTCCCTCGAACACCCTTCTCCAGCTGCCGAACACTCTTCTCCTGCCTGCCTTTGCAGGCCTAACTCATATAGCCCTCCAACCAGCCCCGCCATGAAATTGTTCTAATTCTTCCTCAAAACTAGAGAGAGGGTCTTTCCCTCCTGTGAGTCCCTTCTTGATAGTTCCTTCCTCTGACATCGGTCCGGCTCATCTTGCCCTCCTGTTACTTGTAGGCATGTCTAATGCTCCTGCAAGACTCCTTGAGAGTTCCTTGTGGGCAGGTCACACACAGTGTTTTTACCCATCTCAAGATTTCCCGGGCAGTGCCAAGCACAGAACCCTGCATGGGGTGGACCTCTTGGAGGGGTCCACGGGCCATGACAAGGACTTTGGACTTTTTTCTAAATAATGGGGTCAGGGGGTACAGTGGACGTTTTCCAACAGGGAGTGCCACGATCTGACTTATGTACACTTGGACGCCAGGTTGGGTCCCCTCCCAGAAAATCACTTCCTCCACCTGCTGTCGTGGCCAAATATCCCAGAATCAGCACACAATTCTCATTACAGTTCAGTGACCATTAACATGCATACAACCATTATATGGAAGTTATACCAAAATTTCAAAAGTTTAAAAAATAAAAATAAAATTTTAAATGCAACTTCATGGTAGGAAAGATCAAAGAGATAAGGCAGAGTTCAGTGACCGGTTTTTATCAGTCTCACCCACAGAACTAAACACGGCAGTGCCCAGGCTTTGTACTCCCACGGCCCCCTTGGTGCTGAGGGGGGATTGGGGGCTGGTTGGACAGCGCAGGTTCCATCAGCCTCCTCTGGCCTGTCTCCTGCAGCCTCCTCCCTGCACCAGTGCCCAGAGCTGCAGAGTGGCCCCCTGTCCTGGGACCTGCACCGGGCCCTCCAGGGACTGGGAGAGACTTCAGGGACCATGGTTGGACTAAAGCCTTCGGAGATGCCTCCCACAACAGCCGTGAAATTCCTAGGGGCGGGCTCGGCTGCCTGTTTCGCTGATCTCCTCACCTATCCACTGGACACGGCCAAGGTCCGCCTGCAGGTAGGTGCCCTGTGGCCAGGGTCGTTATTCATATCAGAGGAGGCCCTGAGTTCTCCACCACAGCACTTGCACTGTCTGCCAGCAAACTGTTCCTCACGCAGAACCCTGAGCAGGCCACTCACTGCGCTGCTTCAGACCCTGGGCCGCCCCTCCCCGTCACCATCGCCCAAGATAAAGAAATCTCAATTCCTCGGCCTGACGTGACAGGGCCTTTCATGGCCCAGCCACAGTTTGTAAACCATAAAGAGTAAAGTGAAAGTAAGGAATTACCAGGTGACCTAGAGCAAGCCTGACCACTGTAGTGGGAGCGGCAGTCTGGCCTCCATTTGCCCTGGGAGCTGGGAACTGCTGCACGAACCCGTTATTCTTCCGGGATATGGCAGCTGTGGTCGTGCTTGTCTCCAAGTCCAGCCCTAGGCAGGCCCCTCTGAACACAGCCCCACCCACCCCCACCAAGCTCCTCACACCTGGATGGGGGTGTCCTTCAGATCCAGGGGGAGAACCAGGCAGCACAGATGGCCCGGAACATCCAGTACCGCGGCGTGCTGGGCACCATCCTGACCATGGTGCGCACCGAGGGTCCCCGCAGCCTCTACAACGGGCTGGTCGCCGGGCTGCAGCGCCAGATGAGCTTCGCCTCCATCCGCATCGGCCTCTATGACTCTGTCAAGCAGTTCTACACCCCTAAAGGAACAGACAGTGAGTACCCAGTATCCCACGGACACCGGCGGGTGGGCAGAAGCAGAACTGGGGTGTGTGGGTGCAAAAAGCAGGGCAGCATAGACTCAGAGGCAGGGCTGGGGTATGGGACCTTATAACAGACACTCGTGAGGAGACTCAGAGCCCCAACAAGAAAGTTCCAGAACCTGATCCAGGAGCAGAGGCAGGTATCAGGCAGGGGCAGCCCTGCAGAGAACAGCATCAGGCCCAGAGAGGCATTAGGTGGTGGGACACTGGCCCAGTCTGTCCCCTCTCCCCAGACTCTGGCATCACCACCCGGATTTTGGCGGGCTGCACCACAGGGGCCATGGCAGTAACTTGTGCCCAGCCCACGGATGTAGTGAAGGTCCGATTTCAAGCCACCGTACACCTTGGCCCCGGGAGCAACCGGAAGTACGGCGGGACAATGGATGCCTACAGGACCATCGCCAGGGAGGAAGGGGTCAGGGGCCTGTGGAAAGGTAAGTCTGGGCTCCAGTATCAGGGGGCCTTTGGCAGAGCTTTCCCTACCCTAGGACTTAGGCAGAGAACTGAGCAAAGAACGTACTCTGAGCAAAGAGCATAGTGTATTCCAGTGATTCTGAAAAAATATCCCAACACAAAATAGCCCCTGACCTACCACAATGCCCTAATTCAGTTCAACCTGCCAGCCCTTCACCATGTGCAGGCTATTGGGAGGGAGACAGAAATAAGTAGAAGACACCTTCCACTCTCCCAGGGAGGAAGAGAGATGCATCAAGGAGCTTCCCTACCACGGTGCAGGGCATGCTGGGTTCAGGCAGAGGTGCAAGTCCACAGGCAGAAGAGCCCATGTGGGCTCCAGAGGGAAGGTGACACGTAAGCCGAGCCTCAAAGGCTCAGTGGGCTTTGCTTGTGTGGAGATTGCACGGAAGGGCCTTCCAAGCAAAGGTCTGAGAGCAGTGACTGCAGAGCATGGAGGAGAAACAGGCAGCAGCGAGGAGTAGGGCGTAGGGAGATGCTGTGAGGAGGGAGCTCCCTCAGGAACACAGCTTTAGGGTTCCCTCTGGTGTAGGTCTCTCCCATTTGGAGACCAGGGGGACACATGAATCCTTGCAGAAGAAACAGGGACCTAGTGAAGGTTAAGAGCAGGACCCCTGGGCCCCAGCTCTGGCCCTGCCCTCACTTGCTCAGTGCCCTACTGGAGCCTGGCCCTCCTCCGTGAAACCCAGCGCTGGTCGTTATGCCCTGCTCAGGCCCTGCCCTCACACTATGCTCTGTCCCTGTTCCCAGAGCCCCGCCTCCCTCTTCCAAAGGAACACTTCTGTTCTAGCTCTAGACAAGTCTCAGGGAGGTATATCTAAATTTTGATAGATATTGCAGATCATCCTCCAAAATGTGGCCCAAACAATCACGGTGGGCCTTTCTGTTTCCTGCCTCTAAGGAGGACACGGATAATCTGAGAGGTGTCGACACTAGAAAATGGGTAATCTGCTCAGCCGAGGTGGGCTGTCTGAGACCACTGGAATGGGGCACCAGCCCCCCAAATGAGGGCCTGTGGGGGTTCTACTTCTCCTACTCCCCACTTATCAGCCCCCACTCCCCTTTCTAACAGGAACTTTGCCCAACATCATGAGGAATGCCATTGTCAACTGTGCTGAGATGGTGACCTACGACATCATCAAGGAGAAGCTGCTACACTACCATCTGTTCACTGGTGAGGCCCTGGGCTCCGGGCAGACAGCGCACCCCCACCACGGCAGGGAGGGAACCTGGAACTCCAAATAGTGGGCACCACCCAGAGGCAACTGGGCTTTAGAAGGAGCAGAGAGAGGATCAGGGGCTGGTACATCATTGTGACGAGTAGAAAGAAGCCAAGGGCCAGGGTTCCAGCCCAGCTCCACTTCTCACCACGCATTTGTGAGAGAGGATCACCTACTCTGACTTCAGTTTCCTCGAACAGGGTGGCTGGGCTGAATGACCTTCCAACTCTGGACGGCTCTGTTCCATCTTACGAGTACTCACCAGAAGCTCCACCCAAGGCAGTGAGAAAGATGCAAAATACTATCCTTATGCTCAAAGGGCTCACCACTTAACTGGGGACATATGATAAGCTCACATATGTGAGCTTATCACATATGTGAGCTTATCATATGCTCACATATGTGAGCTTATCACATATGTGAGCAAGGAACAGAAAGCAGGTGTACCCCCACCTCACAGCCCAATATTTGCTCTTCCCTTCCCTGCCACAGACAACTTCCCCTGCCACTTCGTCTCTGCCTTTGGAGCCGGTTTATGTGCCACAGTGGTGGCCTCCCCAGTGGACGTGGTGAAGACCCGGTATATCAACTCGCTCCCAGGCCAGTACCGCAGCCCCCTGGACTGTATGCTGAAGATGGTGGCCCGGGAGGGCCCCACAGCCCTCTATAAGGGGTGAGCTTCCCCTTCCTGCCTCCACACTCCCTCCCAGAAAACTCAGGCTCACTCTCTCCCTCCTCTCTCCTCCCTTTCCCTCCCTTCTTCTCTTTCCTTTTTTTCTTTCCTTCCTTCCTTTCCTTCCTTCCTTCCTTCCATGTAAAATGTCCCTACCATGGGTCCATCTGGGGATGCAGTGGTGAACAGCAGAGATATAAATGCCACAAAGGAGAGTATCAAGAACAATGGAAGTTAAAAAAAAAAGAAGAAGAGTGAACCAAATTTAATTCGGAGAGTCAGGGGAGTCTTATCTGAGCAAAAGGAGTCCAGGCAAAGTGCTGTCCCCACGCTTACAGAGCAGGGGAGAAGGCGGGAAAGGTGGTTGGTGACCCTGAGACTTATCCCCAACCCACCACCGCAACTGGGGATCACCACTGACGGCACCTGAGGTGCCCAATGTGGGTCACGTGTTCTTGCTTCTGTGTCTTAGCATTTACTATTCCCTCTGCCTGAAATGCCTTTCTCATGCCATCTGCATGCTCTAATCTTTTTTAAAAAATAAGTTTTTATTTTCAATTAGAGTTGATGTACAATATTATATTAGTTTCAGGTGTACAACCGCAGTGATTAGACATTTATATAACTTATGAAGTCATCACCCCAATAAAACATCACCCCGATAAGTCTAGCACCCATCTGACACCATATATAGTCATTACCATATTATTGGCTGTATTAACTGTGCTGTTCTTTACATCCCCATGACTGTTCTGTAGCTACCAATTTATACTTCCCTTTTTTTAAGTTAAGAGTTTTGTTATTTATTTATTTACTTACTTTTAGAGAGGGGGAAGGGAGAGAGAAAGAGAGGGAGAGAAACATTGATCAGTTGCCTCTCGCACATGCCCTGACCTGGAACAAAACTTGCAACCCAGGCGTGTGCCCTGACCGGGAATCAAACAAGCAACCTTTTCCTTTGCGGGATGACACCCAACCAAGTGAGCCACACCAGTCAAGGCCTGATTTATACTTCTTAATCCCTTTACCTTTTTCAGCCATCCCCTCAACACCCCTCTGGCAACTGTCAAAACACACATGTTCTAAATCTTAGCTGTCCTTCAAGACTAGTTCAAATGCCACCTCCTCCTCAACACTCTCAAGTCCCCTGTGAGCTTCACCAATACTTTCTTGACACCACTTGCATGGTATTTACCACCTCTTACTTTGTGTTATAGTATTTGTTTGTTTATCCGCCGTGCTAGAGTGCAAGCTCTTTGAAGCCAAGGACTGTGGCTAATACGGCTTTCATCTCGCAGAGTTCCAAGCACAAAGCCAGCACTCAATACTTAGGTTACTAACAATCATCATTATTGCTAAGTCCCTGAGTGTTAGGCCTTGCGCTAAGCACTTTACATATGTTATGTCAACAACCCCCTGAACTGGGCAGTATTCTCCCCAGTTACTGAGGAAGAAACTCAGATCAAGTAACTTGTCCACGGTCACAAAATGGCAGAGCCACTTCCCAAACCCAGACCATTAGCCACTGAGTGGTGTTCATTGAATTACTGAGCTCTTTCCTTAGCCCTCTCACCTCCCACCACTGATGACAGTTTTCTGGCGCCCAGTGTTAGACTGAGCTCAACAAGCAAGCATGTTCTCCACCCTGGGAATGACATCATCGTGTGTGTTTCCATGAACAGACTGGTCTTTTCCTATAAGTGCCTTTGCCTCCACCATTACCATCTCCAGCTGTAGCAACTTGTCTCAGTTTATTATTTTACTTGGCAAACGTTTCCTGAGCATCTCACGGGGGCCAGCCCTTGTGCTGTGCTTCCCTTGAAGAGCAGCAGACAAGTAGGTGACGTCTACTGAGCACTTGGGGTTACTGGGCCTGTAGTGTGTGCGGTACATTAACTCATTTGATCCTCACAATAATTCTATGAGGTAGACACTGTTGTTTTCCTCCGTTTACAGATAAGGAAACAGACTCAGAAAGAGATTAACTCAACCAAGATCATGAAACTAGAAACCAGTAGAGCTAGGATTTAAACCCAGATCTGACTCCAGAGTTTACGTTCAGTGCCCCAGTGCTGCTATACTCCCTGTGAGGGGACTAGGCAGAGGGTTCAGGAGAGGCCTTGGCATGAGGTTATGGCACCCAAGCTGATTCCTACAGGGCCAATAACCAAGAGCCAGACGAGGAGCGTAGGGGACATGCCAAGCAGAGAGAGCAACATGGGTAAAGGCATGGAAATAAGGGTCTGGCAGGAGCAGGGAGGACCGGGAGGGATTAGCAGAGAGAGGCTGAAGAGGAGGGCATGGGCCAGGTGTCAGGCTCCTCCCTGAGTCTGTGGGGCACAGCTGAGGTGGGGACTCTCTCCCAGACATGCTATCACCGGACAGGCAGGCTCTCTGGATTAGCTAAATTTGGTGCTACACCATCTTCACCCTGTGGTGCTTCGCCTTCTTGGTGCCCTGGCAGGAGCCTCATCCAGGCTGACCACTCAGAATGTAAATGAGCCCAGAAACGTCCAGCAGCAGAGTGGAGTCAGGTGGTTTAGTAGAGCAACTTAACCCCCTTGGGTCTTAGTGTCTGCAAAAGACAACTGGTGACAATCATTATCCACCTTATGAGAACGGCGAGAGTAACTACCTGAAATAGTGACCTCACTAAAAATGTTAGTTATCTTTCCTGGTTCCAACTTCTGCCTAAATCCCTTCGGCAGAGAAGAAAAAGACTAAACCAATCCCAGAAAACCCTCCTGACTCAACAAGTCGAGGTCGGCCGGCACTACCGCTGTGGTGGGGAGTGCACAGCGGGGGCTCTCTGGGAGTTCCGCCCACCCCGCCTGATGTTGGGGTTGTTTCTCTCACCAGATTCACACCCTCCTTTCTGCGACTGGGAGCCTGGAATGTGATAATGTTTGTAACCTACGAGCAGCTGAAACGGGCCTTGATGAACGTCCAGATGCTCCGGGAATCTCCGTTTTGAATAGGACAGGCCACTTGGACAGAACTGGAACAAAACTAGTCAAGGATGGAATAAATCAGCAGATCTGCACACACAGAGACAGACCCACACACGTTTACACTCCTTCTTGCTGCTGACTCCAGAATCAGGAGGAGAGGAGGGAGGAGTCTTGTCTTCAGTGCGTTGGCTTAAGAACATTTTTTGTTTTGCACTGACACGATGGAAAATAAATTATATTAATTTTTGAAACTTATTAGGTTGGATGCCTAACATTTAGGCTAGAGAGAACAAACCAAAACAGACCCATTTGGATAAAATGGAAGTTTGTAAGCTGAAAAATCTAATCAGAAGGTGAAAGGTGAGACTGCAAGCATTGGACGGGAGTGGCTCACGGTGACCTGGCAGCCGGCTACAGAGTGGAGAGGGACCCTGCCAGGCAGCACGAAGCTTGTGAGTGCAGCCTGCAATTAGAAGGACCGCCAGCCGTGTGTGCAATGTGTCTGCTGTGCAGAGCCCACTGGGATCCTAGGAAATGTGAGAAAAAGAGAAAACTCGGAACCTGTGCCAAAGGAGCACTGCTGGGCCAACGTGAGGCTGCAACTCATGAGGCTGTGACTCATCCCTGATGACACTGAGAATCCAGAAGACTGCCTCGGTCTCCTTTCCTGTAAAATGGGAGTAAAAATCCCATTCCTGCTACTTCACCAGGGTAGTGTGATGATCAAGTGGGGAGCTGGAAACACTTTATAAAGGCAAGAATTCTGTACAAATGTAAATATAAGGACTAGGCCTTGGGAAAGGTGTTGTCGGACAGTGAAGAAGTGCCAGGGAGGTTTCTGAAAGAGGGCTGACCAGAGGTGTGGCCAAAGGAACCAGGAACTCGAGGACAGAGCATGCCAGGCGGCCAGAGGACGCCCCCTCCCATGCAGCCCCGACTCCCTGGCTGGACTGGGAGTCACCTTGAAGAGTGTGGAGGTTGGAGAAAGAGAGTTAAATGGCAGGACTGACAGTCAAAAGTAGCAGGACTCAGAATTTTTGGAAAATTATTATGACTTAATAAAGGAATTCACACCTTGGGTATTCAAATGAAAACAGCCTCTTTTCTGCCTTCTCTTTCTTGGACAGAATTTCCCTTTCTCACTTCAGGCTTCCTGTTTGCAAGGGCTGAGCCAGATTTGGCCCCACACACCCACACAGCCCACCCCACCCCACCTCTCTCCCGGCCTCAGCACCAGGGGGGATGTTCGGCAAGTCACCCTTCCTACCCCGCACTGACTCCTCTGCACCCCGGGGAAAAGTGAATATCCACTTTCACTCAGCACTTTCCTAAGTTTAAATTATAATTTCACATCATCTACATATACAAACTGGAAAGTACAAACAAAAGCAAGAAACAAAAATTACCGATTTAGTGTCTGCTTTGGCTTTCAAATAAAATTCATATTTAAAAATTTGTTACTTTTGACCTGACGTGCAATTGTGTGTCTGTGTGTGTCGTTGGGGGCTGGTGATGAAAGGAGCTGGCGGGGCAGAGATCTGAGGAAGAGTGTTCTGGGAAAAGAGAACAGAACAGTCTGTGGGAATGAGCCTGGCATGTTTGAAGAACAGAACAAAAGCCCGTGTGGTTGGCATGGGGTAAATGAGGAGATGTACGTGAGATCATTCATTTACTCATTCATCACATGCGTAAGAGGCTGAGAAGTCAGAGGACAGCCAATTGTTGGGAGAGCTTGGCAGGAAAAGGAAGGAGAAAGAAAGTCCTGCCCATTCAATCACTCACACACTAGAAGGAAGAAAAGATGGAAGACGGGGGGCGGGGGGGAGGGGCATTGCAGAAGGAAGGCCCTAGAGAAAACAGAAGAGCACAGAATAATGAGTATGGGTGGGATGGACCAAGCTAGAGAGAATGAGAAACCTAGAAATAAAAGAGAGTTATACAAGCAAAATTTTTGAAATGGAGAGAAGCCAAATACAGGCATTCTCCAGTCTTTTCATTGAGATTCGAGGAATGGTCACATATGAGAGCAGGTTAGTGGGCCTGGAGAATTATTTATGAGAGAGATGATTTTAAAAGCCCTTTCTTCCCTTAAAATATGATTTAATGAAGAAACTTAGATCCTCTGATACTCCTCTGTTCTCTGTCATGCTGAGGCACCCGGGGCCCTCACCAGAAAGCGCACAGGCATTCTAGAACATAGAGAGTGACACCTCCCGCAGGCTCCCCTCCACTGTCGCGGGGCCCTTGCAGCACAGGTGTAGAGTTCCACATCAGGCACAGCCACCCACGAAGCAAGCTGCCTGCCAACACGTGACAGGGTCTTGGAAATTCACAGAGTAAAATATGCAAAGTGGGTTGTCCTCTACATATTCACAATCAGTTATGATGTGGAAACATAATTTAAACATGTCAAGAAAGATGGATGCAAATACTTTGAGGAACTATCACAGTCAAGATTACTTCATGCTGGACCTTCACCATTTATTGCATATTATGGTAAAAGGCCTGAAGATAACACCATTCTTGTATCATACTGAAATTACAGAGGACATTATGAACCATGAGAAAATGTGTGCTTCATTGCCCAGCTTTACTAGGGTTGGCTAAGTTTTTTGGCATAAAAGTGTAAGCAACACATTGATATAAATCAGTATAGATCATCAGATTTTTTTCTTTTTAAAGTCTGAAGAATGTTCACAAATGTGTCCATTTGAAGAATGGTCACACTGTCTACTAATAATGGCAGTGGGAACTGCCATAGAGGTATGGTGGGGGTGCAAGCTGGTAAGACCACAAAAATGACATAAAGATGTGCACAGATATACCACAGATAACATCGCCCATTCAGGTCCTCAGCTCTCTAGATCGCTAGATCACAATGTGATATATGGTTTATATAACAATTATTTACTTAAATATATCAGTATCTAATGACAATTTTATTGTCTTGATTATTTTGTAATGAATTGAGTGCAAGATGACTAAGCGATGAAACTTTCAAACTAGATTTCTTTCAATAGTTGAGCATGTTAATATTGCAGAGCTTGCAAATGTCCTCGAGACAGACTTTTCCTTGTTAAGAATGGTGTTTCCACTGTGGCGGGGTGGCTCAGTCATCCTAAACACCAAAACTTTGTGAATTTGATCCACATCAGGGCATATACCTAGGTTTCAGGTTTGATCCCTAATTGGGGCTCTTATAGAAGGCAACTGATCGATGTTTCTCTTATATCAATCTCTCTCTGTCTCTCTCTCTCTCTCCCTTCCTCTTTCTCTAAAATCAATAAACATAGTTGGGTGAGGATTTAAAAATGAAAAAGAAATATATTTCTTAAAAAAAAAAAAAGAGCCCTAGCTGGTGTGGTTCAGTGGATTGACTGCTAGCCTGTTAACCAAAGGATCTTCAGTTCAATTCCTGGTCAGGAAAGAGGCAACCACACATTGATATTTCTCTCCCTCTCTTTCTTCCTCCCTTCCCTTCCCTTCCCTCTAAAATAAATAAAATCTTTTTTTTAAAAAATGGTGTTTCCATGTATTATTGATTGGGCTTTGCCCATAAGAAGAGAGAGAGAGATAATGTGGATCAACTTCAGTGTTTGGTCTGTAAACAGATTTATAAGTATTTTTATCACTAGATGACGAGGAAAGTAGGAGCTTTGTCAACTCTGATACTGATAAAAATCACCAAGGTCCAGCTGACACAGCCAGTATAAGCAGTGTGGGTTTCTCTACAGGATCCACAAAGCTTATTGATTTCCTATTTGATTCAACTCTTACCTTTATAATGATGGGCAATCTTTCACCAAAAATTGGCAAATTTTTGGTAAGTCTCTGGAAACCTTTCTTACAGAACTAGAAAAGGTTCAAAACACTGGTAGAGGAGTGCAGAGATAGTTAGATCAGGCACTCACTCTGAGAAACACAACAGTGCCTCTGCGTATTCATAACGATACAGCCACACGACTGCATAGCCAGAACAAGCCAGTTGTGGTTTTCTTCTGAATCTCTTACGCTCTGGGAGCCTATTGATTTAGACCCAGCAATTTACAGCAGAGTTCTAAACAAAAGTTATACATTGCCTCTTTCCATGGCTCCTCTCACTAATGGATTCAGTCCATCAGCGGCTAGGACTCCCCAGAATATTTGACCAGTTATCTAGAAGTCACTGCCCAGAAGTCAGATCTTCATGGATTTTACTGTCCAAAGGTACAAGACTTCAAAAACCATCAGATATATTTCAGGGTTATTATTGAGCATTAATAATGTTTTTGGAGTCATAATCTCTATTTCAGATGAGCTCAGATGTTGAATGATGGGATAAGAGAAACCTTTTCCATTTGGTAAAACAACTACAAGGAGAGTTTGCTTGTATCAATACGGGTATCCATAGGCATTACAAATATCAAGGAACAAAGTAGGCTTGCAGGGATTTTTGTGTATATGTCCTCATGTCTATGCTTCCAGTCAACATGCAAACAGAAAACTTGGTGCTGCTTGCGGTGAGAAAGGAGAACTTGACTTAATTTCCAGCTTAGAGAACATGAAAGTGCAGAATCATCGTAAATGGTCATCTAAGGACTCAGCAACAAAACAGAACTCTGATGTTGCCACAACAGAAGCCAACTGGTTTCCTCTCAAGATGTTTCTCCTTTTAATTCAGAGCTGTTTAGCTGCTTAGCTCTGAACTGAGAAAGTCTGTAGGAAAACTACTGTAAACAACCTTTGCAGAAAAGAAAGACTTTAAAAACTCTGGCTTTCCATTAGAAAACTCTCGCTACATGCCCTTTACTTTGTTCAGTCATTCTAGGAAGGTGCTTCAACACTGGATATTCACAGAGGCAGCCTTTTCAAGTGTGCTTTACCACCTGAAGCTGGTCTGGCTTTTGCACTTGAGTTTACACTGACACAGCCAGTATAAGTAGTTTGGATCTCTCTCTACAGGATCCACAAAGCTTACTGACTTCCTATTTAACAGGACCAGCAGTGGATGGGAGACCTCACAGTGCCAGAAATAATTTTTTAACTTGACTTTTCAATTTCCACTTTGCTTCTGCTTCTACCAGGGCCATATGCTCGTGTTTTTCTTTCCTGAGTGAATGAGAAAGGGACTATGTAATAAACCTGACCTGCTCAGGGGCACCATGTGGCAGGCTCGACGAGCTCAGTGACCGAAAGTAACCACACAGGATAGTCTGATCACAAATACCTAACTAGGCAGTTCATATCAGGCAGTCATATCCCAGGCGTATAGCAAAAGTCAGCATTTACCCTAAGTGAGCCATGACCATTTTTCTCAGGTATCTAGGATAACATAAGAAAATGTCAGAAATGTTGAAACATCAGAGTAATTTTCTTTTCTAGACTCCTTGAAAGCACAACCATAGACATCAGAACATAAGACCACCAGAGCAGGAGACCACAGAACCCCTCATTGTTATCTTGTCCCCCCATACCATCTCTAGTACTGTAAACTTTGTTAATTATCCTGTACCCACCAATGTATTGTAGAAAAATGTTTCTCTATTTTGCTTTTTACCCAGTTGTAGAGGTTCCTCTGCTTTACTTTCTCCCACCTTCTTAATCTACCATCAGGTTTCACAGAGTACCTTCCTTATGTTTTCCCCTGATTCTAAATGCATAACAGGAACTACAAAACTGCCGTTCTCCAGAATATTTTCTTAATCTGTTGAGATCTTGCCCCTGGGCATCACCTAAAAACTTTAGTTGAAATAAACTCTTATAAAACTTTTCTATAGGTTGGGATGTTTTTTCCTGGACATCTACTATAATTATCCTTCCCATTCCAGCTATAGTTTCCTCAGCGGACAAGTCCTTCTGCTTGTGGACAATACAGAAAACACACGCAAGGAGCCCGGCTGACCAAGATTTAAGGGAAGGCTCACCACTTCCTAGCTGTGTGATATTAGGCGGGTGATTTAACCTTCTTGGGACTCTTGTTTTCTATAAAATGGAGACTAATACCGGCCTCACAGGCAGTATCCACACTGACCCTGAACATAGTAACTGCATTCACCAAACGCTCGTTTCCCCTGGTCCTCCCAATTTCACCTTTCAAGGCACTTTCGACAAAGCCCAAACTGCACATATTGAGCCTGTAGTATATGTATATATCGGCCCTTGGAGTGTTGTGGTACTAAAACACAGGAAATACCTTCCTGGGATGGAGCTTAGTGTCCTCGGGGAGACCGCTTCCCTTACAGCAGTCCTTGGAGGCAGACAAGGATGAAAACAGCAAGGGACAGAGGGTACACAAAACTAGGGACACGGAATTCAAGGGCGAACAGAGATCTAACGCTCGTGCTTGTCCCGGCCGCGGCCCGGGCCCTGTTCGGCTGTCTCACTCATGCGGCGCTGACCCGTTCACGTCGCGCTTGGTGTCCCATCCCTACCCAGGCCGGCAGCCCCGCCGGGTCTCCAGGGACAAGTTGATCCTCGGCGGGAGGATGCAGGAAGGCCAGCTGTTCCCAGCGACCGTTGGCGGTTGCCGGACACCTGTGCTGCAGCTTGGACTGGCTCCTTCCTCTGACTGCGCAGTGGCATCAACCAATCACCAGCGAGGCCGGTCGGAAGGCCCCGCCCAGCCGGGGCCCGCGCCCGCGCCCGCGTAAGGCGGGAGAGCGGTGTGCCGAGGTTCGGGCCAAGGACTGGGCCTGTGAAAGAAAGGAAGGCGTGCACTTAGACCCTAGGCTCTAGGCCGCTGTTAGAAAGAGCCATGGCGGGGAAGGTGGGAGCAGAGGCGTGTGCGACCCTGGGCAGCCTCTGCTTCTTTCCCGTCGTCAGTCTTTCCATTCTCACAATGTTGGCGGAATGGGGGAAGGGAGTGACCACGGGGGAAGGAGATCTAAGGGGTAGACGCGGGGATCCTCCGCCCTCTTGGAAACTGGAGTGGAGGAAAGGGCGCGCCCTGAGGGCCCCTGCGGAAAAGGTTGCGCCTAGAAGCCAAAAGGCCCGTAAGCCCCGCCCCTCCCCGCAGGCCCTGCCCCCGGGACTTAAGTCTCCGCGGCAGCCTCAACCAGCCCCAGCTGCAAGCCTCAACCCTTGCGCCTTCGCATAGAGTACTGTCTGCGCTCCCTCCGCGCACCCTCCACAGCACACAGACGGAGCCACCCGCTCTCTCGTCTCTTGTTCTCCCTGCGGCCCGGTGAGCCCTGCCCCAGCCCTGCTCCTGCTCCACTTGCTCCACGCTCGCTACCCCGGCCGCAAGTACCCGCACGCTTCCCTCTCTAATTTCCCTCCTACGCCCAAACTATTTTGTATTTTTGCTCTTTGTCCGACCCGTCTTTATCTCTTCTTTCACCCTTTTCCTATCTCGCTTTTGTTCTCTACCTCTCGCGTTCAATTGGCTGTAATTTAAACCTTCACCCTCCCACTCCCTTCCCTCGGCCAGAATGCGCAGCCTGCCTTGGGTGGGGACCCTCTGGCCCCTCTGCAATGACTGGAATGATCTCTCCCTCCCTCAGGGGCTCCTGGCCATTGCTGGGGCTATTTCTGTTGGGATGTGGGTTTGAGCTGCTTGAGCCGGCTTCTGCTGGGCCCCATCCTCCAACCTCGCAGCCCTGCCCTGGGGCCTAGTGGACTCGGAGCGAGTCTCTGACCCATGATGACTCCTGCCCATTCCGCTCCTGCTGACTGGGCTGAGGAATGCTTTCCAGAGAACTGCGGAGTTCTCTCGAAATTTTCTGCCACAAAAGCAGAAGTTTGAAAGAGCCAATGTGTTACACTAAGAGCAGACAGGGCTGGGGAGGGGGGAAATTACTGGGTTCATTTCCCTCCTCCATCGTGTGCCCTTAATTGCTCTCCAGCAGCCCTGGGGAAATGGATCCTTCCTCCTAGGCACGGAGCGGACTGTGTACCTTGGGCAGGGCCCTTTCCTTGTTGGAGTGTGGTCCTTTAAGGTGAATTTCCTTCTGAACTCTTCTCCCTTGCTATTATCCACAGGATACATAGTATGAACTTTAGGTGTTTCGTCTCCCAGCCATTTTCTATGGAAAACCAGCAAGATCGGGCCATGATAGCTGCTGGCAGCTTTGAAGAGCGGGACACCTTTAGAGAAGCCTGATCTTAGAGGCCTCAGCGTGAGACCTTACAAAGCCAGGTAAGAGTCCAGTCTAGGGGGGATCTCCAGATGCCTCCTAGCCCTGTAGTCTGGGGTAGGGGTGAGTGGTCAGCAGGACATTAACAAAAATAACTACCCCCCACCCCTGGTGAAGCTGCTCTTCCTAGTTCATGTGACCCTGGTCTCATTCTGGCTCTTAAGCTGACCCTGACAAACCAAGGATAATGGCCCCCATTTTACACAGGAGGAAGTTGAGGCCCAGATGGGACAGTGGTTGGCCCTGGGTGACCCTGGGAATCAGGAGAATGGGAACCTACTCTTCTAACTACATGTTTCTGACTCCAGTTTTGACTGTCCCTGAGACACAAACTAGAAATGAGATATACTATTTTTGGACACTGAAACTGTTGTTTGCTGGGGAGTGTAAAATATGATTAACTCTTTCTAGGCCTGAGTTTTACTAACTCTTCATAGTAAGGTCTTTAGCACAGATGACCTTTACCCCCCATACTCATGGCCCTGAAGGACCTGACTTGTGGCAAACCCAAGGCAACATTCAGAGTGGCAGCTGAGTCTCGGCACTTGTCTTTGATGTGGGCAGGGGTGGGTCCTATTCTGTTCTGATGCTCACTACAGCCTCAACCCAGCCCAAACTCAGGACGAGAGGCTAATGTCATCATGTCTCTGACGCCCAGAGGAGGGATGCCATTTGCCTTCACCTTCTCAGAACGGTCGTGCTGGCACAAGAGAATTTGGCTGTTGGACTTGGTTGTGAAAAGCCCTGCCTGGGCCTGGGCCTGAGCAAACAGCAGGGAAGAAATGAGCTGGGCACTAGTACAAAGCAAAGAGCTAAGGCTTTGGAGCTGTGCAAGTGGCTCTCTCACCAAGTTCACTCTTTATCTCTAATGTGGAAGTAAGGGCGCCTCACAGGGCTGCTCTGAGGGGTACGCCCAGTAATAGGGTGCCCCAGGCAATGGGGTGGAGCACCTCCCAGGGGATGGGGGTGTCAGAGCAGGGGTGGTAGAGGGTCTGGAGCAGCTTCATCAACCCTCTGTGCCATTTGAGTGCCCATCTTCACTGAGCCTAAAGTGAGCCACAGCTCCAATGAAAGGGAAATAAGCCCTGCCCTGTAGGAGTTTCTGGTGCACTTGAGCAGTGAGTAGGCTCTAGACTTCCTTATTGGCCCCAGCTACTCAGGCGAAGAAGCCCTGGAGCTGTTTGTTTCCATGGGTCTCTGTGTTCACAGCCGACTCCCTTTGCTGGTCAGCTCTTTCCTCCTGGCCCCAGCAACTGGGGCAGCCAGTTAGACTGGGTTCAGAGCAGCTGCTTCTACAAAATCAGAGAAGTGAGCTCAGGGGAGAGAGAAGCAGGTCATCCTTCCCCACTGGGGTGCTGGGCTCACTTCCTCCCTTAGGGGGGCGGGGGGCGGGGGGGAGGGCAGGGTGTTGTTCCAACTCTGAGAACAAAATGTAGCTTTTGGTTTCCTGTGTCACTCTGTATCTCCAACTTGCATCTCCCGGTCCCTACCTCTTTTGTGGTGAAGACATGGGTTCCCCTGTGGTAGAAGAGGGGAGATGGTTTTCCTTGAGTCACACAGCAGGCCGGGGAAGAACGTCAAGCACCTAGGCACTAGGCTGAGCCCTGGGAATTGCCCAGCATCCCTCAAGTTCCGGCTAAACGTTACCTTTTCCAAATCTGATGACCCACTCTTCCTCACGTCTCTCCTATTGGGAGTGTTCCCTCCGCTGCAGTTTTAATGGTGTGTCCTGCAAGCCCCAGTGCAGCCTGAGTCACCTGCCCACTCCCTGTGCCAGACAGTCGGGCCCTCTAGTGTAGATTCTTCTGTATCTCAGTGAACCAGGACCTAGTAAAGCAGTCTTGAAAGAATGATTCAGGAGAACCCAAGCTATGTGCGGGCTGGGAAGGAAATGAACCAGGTTATCCATTCCTTTTCTTCCAGACTTAGAAAATTCCAGACCCATAGAAACCTCTCCTGCTTAAGAAACCCAGGGCATAAGCCTACAGGTTTGTGCCTGTCAGGTTCTGGTCTGGCCGAAACCTTTTCCTCACTTCTGTCTGCTTTCCAAACAGACCTGCAGAAGCAGGAATGTGGACATCATCAGTGAAATCTCTGGACCCAGCAGACAGAGGTCTAGGCCACGGCCTGTTTGAGACAGCACTAGGGTGTCTGTGATCCATGGTGAAAGGGAGGGAGCTCTTCACTAAATTTGGGCCTCGCAGGCAGGAGTTGCTTCTTCAGCCCCTATTTCAGTACCTCTGGAACTCACTCCTGTCTTCCCTCATAGGGTTTCTCTGGTCCTTGCTCAGGAAGGTGGTGCTGCTGGGGAAGGAGGGGTTGGGGGTGATGAGCAGGGAGGGCCAAGGCGTACTGATGATGATGGGGCTTCTCTCTCCTTGGCTTAGATTCCGGCAGAGTTCCTCTATCTCGTCTTGTTGCTGGTTGAAGGTGCCCCCTTCTCCAATTTTCCTTCATCTTCTGGGAGGTAGCAGGAAATAAGCATCATGGTTGGGTTCAAGGCCACAGATGTGCCCCCTACCGCCACTGTGAAGTTCCTGGGGGCCGGCACAGCTGCCTGCATTGCAGATCTCATCACCTTTCCCCTGGATACCGCCAAAGTCCGGCTACAGGTGAGGGGATGAAGCCTAGGAGTCTTGATGGTGTCTAGTCTGTTCCCCTCCCAAGATGCAGATTCCTCGAGGGCCAGTGGGGTGTTTGGGACTGTACATTTGGAACCATATGGTGGGAGATGGGGATGGCAACCTGCCTACCCCCATACCTGTCTTGGCCATGCAGATCCAAGGAGAAAAGCAGGGAGCAGTGAGAGCAGCAACCTGTGTCCAGTACCGCGGCGTGCTGGGCACCATCCTGACCATGGTGCGCACCGAGGGTCCCCGAAGCCTCTACAACGGGCTGGTCGCCGGCCTGCAGCGCCAGATGAGCTTCGCCTCTGTGCGCATCGGCCTCTATGACTCCGTCAAGCAGTTCTACACCAAGGGCTCTGAGCGTAAGTGTGGAGCAGGGCCTTCAGCCCCTTGGCCTTTTCCTCTCGGTGATGACTGATCCTAGTTCATTTTGCTGCGTAGCTCCTTTAGGCCTCATGATCCTGAAGAGGATCAGAGGAAGGGAGGGCTGGAAGGGCCCTGATTCTCCTAATGAGTCCAGAGCTTGGGCTGTGCCAGCTCTAAGCAGGGGTCCTCCCGTGACAGCCCTCACAACCGCCTTGAGAGGAGGTAGCACTGTCCCTGTGTTACAGGTGAAGATACTGAGGCTTGCAGGGGCTGGCGGGAGGAGGCCTTGGCCAAGGGCACACAGTGGGAAGCCAGAAAATACACCCAGGACTTTAGCTTTCAAGGCCAGCACTTTCATTTCTTCTCCACACACCATGCCCGTGCTGTTTTACACATGTGGGAACTGAGAACCCAGGTCACGGGTTGGCTTTTCCCAAGATGACATGGCAGGGGGGAGTAGATCCGGGATGAGAACCCAAGTCTTATGTCCCAGTCCTTGGAAAAGCCGCTCCTCTCAAGCCTAGGTTTTCTCATTCATCAAGTGGAAACAGTTCTGGTTTCTCAGGACTGTGGAGCAGGTTCAGTGAAGGGAATGAAAATACTCTGTGAAAGAAAACATTAAGTCTCTCTCTGTCCTACTCCCTGCTGTATCCCAGTGCCTTGCAAGTAGTAGACACAGTAGTATTTGGTTTGATGTGAGGAGTTCATAGAGCAAGAGCTGGTTTGGATCCTATTTCCGAAAGGCAAGAGGTTATAGTCCCACGGTGTATTTGGTGAGGAGAAGCAGAAAATGAGTCCGGGCCCAGCTAGACGCTGACCCCCACGGTTCTCCCCCGACAGACGCCGGCATTGGGAGCCGCCTCCTGGCAGGGAGCACCACCGGGGCCTTGGCTGTGGCTGTGGCCCAGCCCACGGATGTGGTAAAGGTCCGGTTCCAGGCTCAGGCCCGGGCCGGAGGCAGCCAGAGGTACCAAAGCACCGTTGATGCCTACAAGACCATTGCCCGAAAGGAAGGGTTCCGTGGACTCTGGAAAGGTGTGTACCAGATGTTTCTTCTTCCCTTTCTCCTTCCTCCCCCATCCCTGGTCTCACATAGGTGCCCCTTCCTTCTGTAGGAACCTCTCCCAATATCGCTCGTAATGCTATTGTCAACTGTGCTGAGCTGGTGACCTATGACCTCATCAAGGATGCCCTCCTGAAAGCCAACCTCATGACAGGTGAGTCAGGGCAGATGGTGCTGGGTCTCATCCTTCCCCCAACCCAGGATCGGCTGTGGGAATCGGGTTGCCTGAGGAGCACATCTCTTCATCCTCTTCCCCTCTGCTTGTGGAGGGAGTTCTCTCTCGCACTGGCCACCCTGAGGCCAGTTGAGGTGAAGCTCCCACTTTGCACACTGAGGCCCTGAGGCAAGGTGGGCAAAATGTTGCTTAGGTCCTGGGGAGGCTCCCAGCTGGAACCTCCGTCCCTCTAAAACCACAAGACCCCAGCTACTTAAAGTAATCTCTTTCCTTCTGGAATGATGGAGTGAGGAGTCCTGACTCTTCTGCCTGCTCCTCCTCCTTGACAGATGACCTTCCTTGTCACTTCACTTCTGCCTTCGGGGCAGGCTTCTGCACCACCGTCATCGCCTCCCCTGTGGATGTAGTCAAGACGAGATACATGAACTCTGCCCTGGGCCAGTACAGCAGCGCTGGCCACTGTGCCCTCACCATGCTCCAGAAGGAGGGTCCCCGGGCCTTCTACAAAGGGTGAGCCTGTGGTCCACCCCACCCAGTTCCAGGCCTGTGATCACACAGGTGGGAGAGAGCCACCTGGAACTGAGTAGCAACCAAGCGTTAAGCAATTTCTGATTATGGTCCTAGTATTTCACCAGCCTTCTCTCTCACGCTCTTAACTCCTTCCTCGCCAAGTTGCTACCTTCTTGAAAGGTATTAAAATGGAGACTCATAGGGTTCTTGGTCACAGCCACAGAGCTGTGAGGCTCTGGTCCCTGGGCCCTCCCAATCTCCTTTGGGACAGAGAGGCTGGGTTGGATCGGGTGCCAGGGCCCCCTGGGGGAGCAGGAGGTGGGGGTGCCCCCTGTGACCTGTGTTTCCTCCCTTCTAGGTTCATGCCCTCCTTTCTCCGTTTGGGTTCCTGGAACGTGGTGATGTTCGTCACCTATGAGCAGCTGAAACGGGCCCTCACGGCTTCCTGCGCTTCCTGGGAGGCCCCCTTTTGAGCCTCTCCTGCTGCCGGCCTGACCACTCTGGCTTGGCTTTGGCTCCAGCCAGGCCCTGCTTCCCTTTTCCTCCTCCCTCACTCCGCACCCCTTCTGCTCCCATTTCTACCACCCCCTGCCCTCTCCCCACACTCTCACCTCTCCTCCCACCTCATGTCCCCACGGCCTCTCAGTCCTGGTGGAGTGGGTCCCAGCTGACACTGTGGGAGGCCTGACACCAACCAGGATCCCAAGCCTCTCAGCCCGGCTCTTCAAGATTCTGTCCCCAAGCCCAGAGAGCACATCACCCATAAAACAAGCTCAATCTCGGTGTCTCCTCCCTCTCTCATAGCCGTCACCAGAGATCTTAGTCTAATGGTCCCTGTTGGCACTTGGTGGGCAGGGGAGGAGCTACCCTGACTTGGAAAAGTGGGTATGACCCACTTTCTACCTGCAGTGTCCAATCTAGTCCCACTGGTTCTGTTTCCAGACCAGGCCCCAGGCTAAAGTGGCGGGTAAAGGAGCAGCCCAGGGTCACAGCAGTGACTGCCCTCTCCAGGCTACTTGAGCTTTTACCCCACAGTGCCTGGTACTCCAGCACTGCCTTTCCAGCCCCGGAGCTGGCCTCAGGCCTGTTTACCTGTCTGCCTGCAAAATGAGAGTGTTCCTATCTGCCCCACAGCTCTGGTGCTTTCTGGAAGATATAGAGGAACTTGGGAATCTTAGGTGCCGTGGGCTTATTTTACTCCCTTTTATGAATGGGAAACCTACCCTAAAGTCCCAGACCTACTGAGGGCAAGTCGGGCTGCCTCCTACCCTCCAGGTTCGCATCCATCCTTAGAGACAGTCTGTTGCACTGCAGGGCACACATCTGTCCTTGGCCAGAGGGCTCTTTCCGCTTGGAGGCTCACCCTGTCCCCAGGCCTGAGATCCCAAATGAGCAGTGACAAACCAAGGCTTAGGCTGCACAGGGGTTGACACCTTTCTGTCTCCCTACCACCTGTCCTCAGACAGAAAGCAGGTGGGCAGGACTGCTTTTTCAAGAGGTCAGTGACTCTGAGGTCCCAAAGTCCTGAATTGTATCGTGCAAGAGTTAAGCCACCCTGGCCCATCTTGTGGATGTCTGAAGGGTATGAGGGCTGAGAGGTTGTGTGGCCAAGAACACACAGGACGTCGTCAGCTGATCTGAGACCAGGACTCCTGCCTCCCCTGGGGCCTCCATCCAGGGACCTGCTGGGGCAACTATGGGGCCAGGCAGAGGAAATGACCTCACAGTCTAACAGGTGGTGCTACTGCTCCTTCCCCATCAGTCAGCTGGAGGCCAGGCCCCTCAGTGCCTGGGCAAGGGGTCCAGGATATTAGGTTTCTGGAGAACAGAGGGCCCAGCTTCTAACTAATTAAGGTGTCTCAGGACCCCCAAGAGGGACAGGATTTGGTGCCATGAGTCAATTTAAGGTGAAGGCAGACAACTCATCCAGGCTTTTCACTGCTGGGCTGTGGGGCATCAGCATAAATGGAAGCCCCTGGCAATGGGTGCACCTTAAACCCAATTAGCAGGCCATTCCGTTTCACGCTAGAGGAAATTGGCAATCCATCACACTAGGCAAATCGGCTGGTTCGTTCAGCAGGCTTATGTCCCAGATGGGTGGACAGCAGTCTGCCAGACTTCCTCATGGTTTTGCATGTGATCCTGGGACAAGCTGGGAAAGGTGTAGAAACTACATAAAACTGGCTCTTTGTTCTTAATGCCTATAAAATGGGTACATGCTAAGCACTGCTTTGCCTGGCTCACAAGGTACCACTGAAGATCACTAGAGTAGAGCCTGGTATTCAAGCATGAGCTAAACACTGAAGTAACAAGTTTTGAAGGTTTTCAGAGTTGTGAGGAGCAGGCTTTCTGGCTGGTCTAGGGGAGACCTGGAGTGCTAGAATTTCCTGGTGCAGGCTCCACACGCCCTCACTGGTCCCTGCTCTCAGAGCAGGGCAGGTGCTGCCTCAGAGGGCGAGTCACCTACTTTGCACAAGGCCTGCAGAATGGGGGTTGTGATCTGTATGGATCTAAGGTTCAGAGAAGTGAAGGGATTTGCCTGTGGGCACACAGCTGGTATGTAGCACAGCTGGGGTATATCTGACTCCAGAGCCTTATTTATTCATTCATTCATTTAGAGAGGGAAGGAAGGGAGAAAGAAACATCAATGTGCAGTTGCTGGGGACTGTGGCCTGCAACCCAGGCATGTGCCCTGACTGGGAATCGAACCTGTGATGCTTTGTTTCACAGCCTGAGCTCAATCCACTGAGCCACACCAGCCAGGGCAGAGCCCCTCCTAAATGGCTGCAGAGATGCTCCGTAGACCCCTGGTCCAGATCCTACATCTTGGGCTGCTGCTTGCACTGCCACTTTCTCCCTGATGGGTTGAAAATGGCTGGCGTGCTGCTGAGTACCCGTTGAAGGAAAAGGCCTTAAGCCAAGTAACATGGTGCTTTCAATGGTGGAATCCAAGCAACACGGGGTCCTTTACCCCACCCCACCCCCAAGTCTTCAGAGAAGTGACACTTAGTCTGTCACAAGATTGGGCCACCCTGTACCAACACCAGACTCGGGAGAGTCTCTTGGCACAGAAGCAGTGTGCACCTCGCTTGTTGACTGATGGAAGGCAGACTGCGAAGGCAGGTGTGGTCTGCGCAGGCCCAGTCGGGCCTGGAGGCTGGGCCTCCCACAGGCCACGTGGGCAGTGGTGCTGTAGCCCTGACACTTAAACAAGTTCACCAAGCACGTTCACACCAGTGGCTGGGTCCTCACAAGTAACCTGAGCTCTGCTTTACTGGAGGGCAGTAACACAAGGGGCCAGTGGCTGGGCTGAGAGCAGAACCCCGGTCTCCTGACTCCCAGGCCACCCTACCTGGGGGCAGCCCAGGACCCACTGCACAGGCAAGGGAGTTGAGGCTGGTGATGTAGAAACCAAAGCCATTTCCTGTGCTTGTGTCCTCTCTGCCGCCTCTAAACAGGGTGAGTCTGTGGGAGGTGGCCTTTGAGGTTCTGCTGAGTCAGGTGTCTTCTTCCCCTTGTACTTGGGTTTTCCTGAGTACAATGTGACCATATCACATTCTAGAGACGGCCCGCTTAAAGATTACATGTCATGAGAAATGTGTAGATCTGAGAACCTGGCTACACAGCCCTGCCCCAGCTCAGAGCTATGAGGCTCTGATCCCTAGGGGACCCAGCCACGCCCACAAAGCCAGGACAGGGACTCACGTCCTCAATCTTCCTCTGCTCCAGAGAAAGGCTATATGAAGTTCCTCTCCCCTTCCCCAGCACACACTCTCCTGTGTGTAGCTGGAGGATAGGAAACAAATCTTTATTATGTTAGTCTCAAAGTCCATCCCATCTTCATGCCACCTCTGTGCAGTGGGCTGGCTCCGCTGAACACCCAGAGGCTACAGGAGGCGGGAGCAGGTAAGGCCTGGTGCCCAGCCCACCGGTTACATCAGCAGCGCCTGGCGCAGCATCTGCTTCTTCTGGGGTGTGAGGCGGGTGGGGAACTGGATGTCGAAGAAGATGAAGAGGTCCCCCCTCTTGGTGGGGTCCTCAGGCAATGGCATCCCCTCACCAGGCACCTTCTTGAAGTACTTAGGACTGAGAGGGGATGAAAGGAGGGAGTTGAGGGGAGCAGCCCCCGACAGCTCCCCGCCACCCCGGCTCACCTCACTGCAGGTCAGGGGCAGTCACTGCGGCTTCCACCATGGGACGGGGGAGAGAAGAGACTGGCTTATTCCAGATAGTTTGCTCCCTGAAAACCCATTTACACCAGGCCCCTGGTGGAATATTCCAGGGGTCTCATTTTGGAGATGGGAAACAGGCCGAGGAAGGAGGAGACCCTGCATTGGTGGGGAGCGGGGCAAAGCTTCCCAGGCAGAGGGCCTTCCTTGGGAAGGGCTTAGTGGAATTACCTCAGGGCTGTTACAGAGAGGTGGAGAGACAGAGCTGTCGGAGGACAGAAGGTAAAGGCAACAGGGATCGCCTGACATTGGGAGCCTCTGGCCTCTACTGTGGCTTCTTCATGGAAGTTAGAAAAAGGTGCTCCATTTGCCAGGTGAAGGCGGTCCACAGCTCAGGCAGAGTGGAAGCTGGATTTTAGTCCTCTCTCGTCTCCTTGTGCTCGGTGCAACCTGAACAACTAGGCCCACCTGTCTGATACTACCCTCTAAGGCCCAGGCCAGCCCTTCTGCCCATGGGGACCCAAGCAGATGGACTCACTGGATTATGTCATTGATGGGGATGTTGAGCAGACGGTCATCTAGGGTCTTCACCTCCACGGTGCAGCAGGTCAGAGCCTAGGGGAAATTAAGGCCAAAGGTGGGAGTAGAAAAGGTCTCTGTGACCATTCTTTTTAGAAGACCGTTTATGATCCTCTTTGATACCAGACTCTGAGCTGGGCCTCGAGGAGATAAAGAGAGACAAAGAGAAATGCAAGGACTGACAGGTGAGTGAGCCAGGCAATGACCTGCCCTCAAGGATTCACAGTCTGGTTGGTAAGACTGATTATGTTCATTTGCATCATAACAGAGGGAAATACAGGGCTTGGTGGGAGCCAAGGAGAAGCTCCCAAACCATCTGGGTGAACAAAAGGGCTACACAGTGCTGGTAGCAGTTGATGAGGGCCTTAAAGAGTGAGGTCAGTTTGACAAGGTGGGGAGACAGCATTCCGGGCAGAGGGGCCACAACAAACAGGAGAAGGAAGGAGTGCAAGCACACCACTTGGGCAGGAGCTCTAAGTGGCATGAGATCAGCAGGGGCCAGATCGTGCAGGGCTTCGAATTCCACGTGGAGATGTTTGAACAGGAGTGTGGCTCGGTCAGATGAGTGTGTGGAAAGACCACTGTGGGCAAGAGGCTGGAGGAGATGAGCAGAGAGGCAGGACAGCCACGGAAGAGACTGCCACTCGGCCCCTGATGGTGGGGATGAGCAGAAATGGACCAAGTGGTGAGGGGTTTGCAGGGGAATTGACAGGATTTAGTGACTGACCGCAGGTAGGGTGGGAGGAGAGGCAAAGTTTGGGCTAGTGCTGTTTATTTGCTTGGCTTGTAAGGGTGTGGAAGTGCCACTCACACTAGGGAGTGAAGTCAGCCACAAAGATCACCACACTCGGAAGGCCTGCTTGCCTCAGGGCCTCCCAGGGGTAGGGGGAGCTCACTCTAATCCCCCCCCCCCACGGTATTCCACTTTGGCCACTCACCTTGCCCAAGGGGACAGAGTTCACAAAAAAAAGGTGGTCGTTCTCCCTGCGGAAGCGAGGGTGTAGCTTCTCCTTTACGATGAAGATAATGTCGGCT